TCGCTGTTTACGAAAATATGGCCTTTGAAAAAGACAGGGTCTTTTTGTAGAGATATTGTGAGGTGACTGTAACTGAGTCATGAAAGTTTCGTAAATTTGTCTGCACTTTTCGCGAAAATGTCAGAAGACTTGCCTGCTTGCTTTTCTAAGTCAAAATCACTAGGAACTGTGCTATCAAAAGGTGCATGCTTAGGCTCCAGCCTATAAAGTTCTCCGAGTTACGAGCCTACGAATACACGTCCTCATGAATTTCGCTCAAAGTGTAAAAATCGCGTATTTCGTCGAAATTCCACCCCGAGTGGTTGTATGACATGCTGATCACTCAACCACTCGGGGTGGAATTTCGACGAAATACGCGATTTTTACACTTTGAGCGAAATTCATGAGGACGTGTATTCGTAGGCTCGTAACTCGGAGAACTTTATAGGCTGGAGCCTAAGCATGCACCTTTTGATAGCACAGTTCCTAGTGATTTAGACTTAGAAAAGCAAGCAGGCAAGTCTTCTGACATTTTCGCGAAAAGTGCAGACAAATTTACGAAACTTTCATGACTCAGTTACAGTCACCTCACAATATCTCTACAAAAAGACCCTGTCTTCTTCAAAGGCCACTATTTTCGTAAACAGCGAGTTCGAAACCTCTATAAGCGAAGTTTCCTTACAATTCAAGAGCATCAACATTTTGACCAATATCCATCGGCGAGCTTCCAGAGCATAAAACGAAAAAAATGAAATTACCCGAACATTCCGGGAAACTTGCTCATAGAGGTTATCTGTCCTGCTGATTTCGAAATTCACATCTGCTTAGGAAGATAGCTTCGTATTTTAGGGCTGTGGCGAGTAGAAGTTTCTGCGACAAGATTTTTCCCCAATACACCAGTCCTTCTATCTCCCTTCGAAAGAAGTTTGCGGAGACACTTTAGCGATCATTAATCTGCAAGGGAGGTACTACAGAATCGCTCTTACAGTAGTCTACTAGAGGCAGTGCGCGCTACTTTACATCTTTGTAAAGTGACGTCCGCAGAAAGATTCACGAATACTGAAATAGGAATATCAAGGGCATGCTGCATATCGAAAGGTTCGCCTTGCCGAGCTGAGCACGATGCTTTTTTCGGATTCAGAATGCATTCATTCCGAAGGAAGTTATGACAAATAGAATCAAAAAACGCGTGATTTCTCCAGAATTCACCAACGCTTGTATTTCTTCTGGAACGAAATCCGCAACTATACTTTAGTGCTCTATAACTTACAAGAACCGTACTATCGAATATTAATTACTAGCATCTTTTATGTTAGATAGGCGCTGCGTTACATCTTTGCAAACAGACCTCCGCAGAATTTGAGAAAACTGGAAACGGAATCGGATTCAGAATTTATTCATTCTGAATGGAGTTATGGCGTTGTGTAGTTTGCATGATTCGTGTGATTCCGCGGAAATCCCGGAATGTCGCAAAACTCCCAGAACGTTGCGGACTTTCGCAAAACTCCCGGAATTTCACGACATACAAAGAAAATCTGCATTTTTGTGAGCTATTGTAGATAGCAAGAAATAGAGTAGAGCATAGGAGAACTCAAAAAGACATCGATACGGAGGCAACAGCCTATGTACGCGCATCGTTCGTGGGCGTGTGGACTCTGATGGAAAGATGCTCGAGCACGCGTTTGCGCCGTTTCGCACCTTAGACCGATCACGTTCGTGGATCTGGATTTGTATGTCATACGCAGAAAACAGAAGTGTTCAACTCATCTTTGAAACTCCTGTTGACAGACGACTCCGTTCATTCACAATGTATAGAGCGGTGAATTTTTTTTTGAAAGAGCATCTATCTATTGCACCGAATGCGCAATTGAACCGAAAAAGCCTGTAGATCACATTCTATAAGAGACTAGCTGGCTTACCCGGCTCCGCCGTATCCGGACCAAACTTGGCACACATACACTTCGGGCCCCGGCGGGTGTCACAGTCCACTTTTCGTTATCGATCGATGTCGATTTTACCGATTTTTATCGATTTTTTTGCAGAGTTCACCTACAGGGCTAGGAGTTGGCACAGGGGGGAAGTGAGCATGGGGATTCCGAATACAATATTAGTTTCCAGAATTATCGATTACTTTTATTGATTTTATCGATTTTTTGTAAATTTTGACATGCGAGGCTGGGATTTTGCACAGGGGGGTAATCGAGCATGCTGATTACAAACACAATATTAGTTTTCAGGATCGTCCATTACTTTTATCGATTTTATCGATTTTTTTGTAAAGTTTGACCTGCGGGGCTGGGAGTTTGCACAGGGGGTAATCGAGCATGGGGATTCCGAATACAATATTGGTTTTCGGGATTATCGATTACTTTTATCGATTTTATCGATTTTTTGAAAATTTGAGCTAGGGGGCTGGAATTTGGCACAGGGGTGTAATCGAGCATGCTGATCACCCCCTTTGGGGATGATCAGCATGCTCGATTACCCCCCTGTGCCAACTCCCAGCCCCCTAGCTCAAACTTTGCAAAAAAATCGATAAAATCGATAAAAGTAATCGATAATCCCGAAAACCAATATTGTATTCGGAATCCCCATGCTCGATTACCCCCCTGTGCGAACTCCCAGCCCCGTAGCTCAAACTTTGCAAAAAAAATCGATAAAATCGATAAAAGTAATCGATAATCCTGAAAACCAATATTGTATTCGGAATCCCCATGCTCGATTACCCCCCTGTGCCAACTCCCAGCCCCGTAGCTCAAACTTTGCAAAAAAATCGATAAAATCGATAAAAGTAATCGATAATACTGAAAACCAATATTGTATTCGGAATCCCCATGCTCGATTACCCCCCTGTGCCAACTCCCAGCCCCGTAGGTGAACTCAGCAAAAAAATCGATAAAAATCGATAAAATCGATATCGATCGATGACGAAAAGTAGCCTATGACACCCGCCGGGGCCCGTAGTGTATGTGTGCCATGTTTGGTCCGGATCGGTTCAGAAATGGAATTTTCTATTCGGAACATACGTACAGACATACAGACAGACAGACATACAGACAGACAGACAGACAGACAAACAGACATTCAGCTTTATATATAAGATAGAGCGATAAAAACTCGCACAGCGTTCTCTAAAGTACATTCCTTACTTTATGTCAAAAATGATCCAATTTTGTGATATCATCAGTGATAAATGATAAAATGGTGATATCAATGATAACGACAGATAAGAATGGCTTAAATTTACAAGCTCGATTCCCACGTTCATCTTCCATATAGGTGCAGAATTTCAGCCCAGGCTTCGGCGTGAAGCGAGTTTAAGCGAAAATGCCATTTCAGGTAAGGATTGGCAGCAATGACATGTGCCGATGAGAAATCGATCGATTGCTGCAGCGAGGGATCTACCAATTGACCGAACAATAGAACTAGGAAATCCTGTAGATCACTTATAATGAGAGAAAGAGCGATAGAAATTCACACAGCTTCCTAAACTACTTTTCTTACCATATGCCAAAAATGATCCAAAAATATGATATTATCAGTGATAAATGATAAAATGCTTATATCAGTGGTAAGGGTAAATAAAAACTGCCCAATTTTTCGCGATAGTTTTCGCTAATGAGAACTTCGTACCAGAACCTCCTGTTCGCGATTTACACGGTGATAGATGTTCACAAAAGCCTTAACATAGAAAATAACAAGGTATCACCATATGTCTACCGTCACTATGAATTACGGACATATTGTATACCAGAAGATTCGTCTCATCAAGCTGAAGCCAAATCTTCACGCAGATTATAAATAAAGCTGTTTTAAAAGAAGTTATAGCTAAATCCCGCTTATCCCGCAAATCCCGCGAATCCCGCAAATCCCGTGAAGTCGCGAATCCCGCGAATCCCGACAATCCCGCAATTTTGGACAAATTCTACCGCTGCAACGTACATAGTTGATTTGGCTGAGTGAAGAATTACATATCTAGGTCGATGCTAATAAGAAACCAAAAGAAATCTTGCAAAATACTTCAAAAATCTTAGTGTGACTTGCAGCGATCATTCAAATAGGAAGATTAGTTTAGTAAGGTTGCCTTCTTTGTAATGAGGAGAAGAAAACTAAATGCGTTTTTTATCAGCCATAGTATTAATTTATATATTGGCCAGGTAAGTCTCTCATATCTGATACTGAGAAGGGTTGGAAAAATTTCAACAGTCCAACAGTGAACATCCCGCCTCATTTTTCTAAAACTGGTAACTTTTTTCGCCCGACAGTTTACACTATTCGCTTAGGAAACGGAGATTCGACGTAAGCCGTCGATTTTTTTCCTAGCTCACTCCTTCCATCTCTTCCGAGAGATACGCTGCATTTTATTTGAATTCGTGTCCATATCTAACAGCAGATTTCTGCCCATCTAAGACTAACTACCGCTGATTATCTACCTATGTACCTATGTTCCAGAGCTAGTCTTCATCAGCCGTAGGACCGTCGACTTCCTCGTAGAATTCATTTTCGTTGTGATAGAATGCCAAGCGCAAGCACTTTAAATCAGGTACATGGGCCAAGCAAATCCCTCATATCTCACGGCTCAAAAGACGTCCAAAGAAATCGACTGCCAATTTGGATTCTTGATCCTAGCCCTTAAGTATTTTGTTGTTTATTAGGGTGTTTTGCTTCCTGACTCCAAACCCCTTCACCTAAAGAAGGCCTCGGCTCCCCGATCGCACTGGGCGCGGTCATTCGTAAATTGCGCTATCGAGAAATTTCTTCAGAGGAAATGACGCGTTAAACTCAATAATGGCGAAGAAAACCACTAAATCTATGCAGGTAGTTGGCCCACACCTTTCGATCATTAACTTCCGAAAAATATCAAACTCTCGATCGAATCCTATGAGCAGATCACACAGATGTCTTAGGCGTCGTAACTATGGAATGAGGTATCGAATAAATATACGGATTCATATCATTAGAGCAAGAAATAACCATAGTAATTAGATCAACCAAACCTTCCTACTTAACTTTTCTACAACTTACAAGTTATTGAATGATCGCACTTTTGTTGCCACTGCAGCCAAGAACGCTCGGTAGGCCTCAAGTTCGAAGTTCCTGTTATTGTAGGAGTTGACGACTGGCGGAAGTGATTTTGAAAGTTGCTGCAATTAGTTATTAAACCCAGAGCTGTGCATCACAGACCTTCAACTTAAAATCCAGGTGCTGATTTAGGTATCATAACAGGTCTGCAAAACTTACAAAATAATTTTTTCGAGCAGGCGATTGTGGAACTTCCTGACATGTGCAACGATGCCTTCGTAGTTCATCAAACTGAAGGAACATATTGTGATGCAGTTAAATTTATCGAGCATAATAAACTGAGTAAGACGCATACAACAAAATTTGAACTTCTAAGTGTCAGAATGGAAACAGGCTTTAGCTTGGGCCCATGAGATTACAGCACAAATCAAATAGATTGCTGCCATATTGAAAAAAATTCAAAAATACTCAAAACTTTTTGGAATTGGGCTGTTGAGCCTGGTCGAAACACAGTGCGCGCTTTGTAAGATTGTTCATGGCAAGATTAATTTTTGAGGAATATTTTAGACATCTGCACGGCTTATTTGGCAGATTTTGAAAACGACTTGCTGTTAGGAGATTCCTTTCAGTCAAAGCCAGTGATTTTATCTAATTCAGTGATCCTAGCCTTATGCCTTTTATTTCGGTCTTTGCACAGCCTCTCGCAATTCTGTATCAATGAAAAGCTACCAGTAATTTTACTGCTTGGAGCTGCAAGCATTTTTGGATGGTACATTTTCAACTTTCAACTAGATTTCAGCTTCTAATAACATTTTTTGGACACACGCCCATATTTCTTACCTCCGCATTTTTCCGAGCAACTTCATCCTGAAGTCTAATGACTCGCTGCAGTAAATGATTTCCGACAGAACCTCGATTATGAATGGTGCGTTTAATCCCTATAAATTTCCAGACATGTTGCCCGCAGATTTTCAGTTCTGCGCAGACATGGAAAATAATGTTCTGACCTGACCGCACTGAAGATTCCGAGCATGTCTCCATAGACGATGGAGGGGAGATTGTCCCTACGTCTTCATTTAGTACGCTACCTTAAAGTTTGTGTATTAAGAGAAAGTTGCATTATTGCTGACAGGGGTGGTTAAAAGTCTTCTAGGCCAGAAAAGTACTACCTTTCTCATTTCCACCATTGTTGTTGACATTTCGTCTGAACTTCGCTACTGCTGTCAAAGGGCGTCGACTTTTCGGCTGCGGTGGCAGTGGTGAGATCCGTTTCTGAAGTAGATGGATTTGGTACAGGGACCTCTTGCATTAGCATTTCATTGTCAGCTCGGGACAACGCAGCTTGAAGAATTGTCATGTCCGGTGCCCCAAAGATCACGTTCCCTATCCCTCGAGTATTTCTATCATCGTTTTCTACTAATGTGTAATTATTTGCAGAAGAGTGTGGGAACTACTTTCTCGCAAATATTCTACGAGGGATCGGCCATACTATTCCTGCTATTCCTACGACTCCTGCGATTCCTGCGATTCCTGTGAGTCCCGCACAGTTTATACGCCGCTTAAATGAGCGCGTGTTGCGTGTTACGTGTTGTTTTACGCAACACGCGCTCATTTAAGCGGCGTCTAAACTGTGCGGGACTCACAGGAATCGCAGGAGTCGTAGGAATAGCAGGAATAGTATGGCCGATCTCCGATGCATTGATTTTTACCAGAGAAGTGTCAAGCACAGTTGGTAGATATTACAGCATTAAAGGCAGCGTCCAGGCAGATCTGGACCTATGGGGATTTTACCTGGAAAGTAATTTTGGGTAAAGTATTTAGTAGTAAAGTATTTAACTAATGCAGTGCCCAAGCGGCAGCGCAAGTGACTCACTAAGGGCTGAGGGGTGGGGGACATTAGGTCGCCGAAAAAGGGCGGTCCCCGCGTTCATTTGCGACAAACACGCACCCTTGTACATGCGCGGACATGCGTTCCTGCAGGGAATCCGCGCGGGACTCTTCCAATTCGGCGACCTACTCAGACACTGGGACCGGCTGAGCCGCGGCCTCAAAAGGCCTTTCCGGCCCGTCCGCGGCCTTAATTTGGGGGCGTGGCCGAAGACCGGCCCAGCCGCGGACCTTAATTCATGTCGATATGATTGCACCGGCTGATCCGCGGACTGAATATGGCTTACCGGCCCAGCCGCGGACCGAATATGGCTTACCGGCCCAGCCGCGGACCTTAATTCATGTCGATATGATTACACCGGCTGAGCCGCGGACCAAAATCTCTATTACGAAACACCGGCTGAGCCGCGGCCCATTTTCGGCTCGGCCGGTCCTAGTATTTGAGCGTAAAGAACACTTGCGTGATGTACGACGCATGCTCAGGCTGCCCTCAGTGTCCATAGCCTCCGTTGTCTTTCCAGTCTCCAAGGCAGGAACAAGACCAATATGTTGTACAACACTTGGATAGCACTTTGTGTTGTCCAATTTTGAAGCCGGACATGGTTTCCGAAGCGGCCATGTCTGTGGCCTCAATTTTTGTTTTTCACAGCGTATATTTTACGTGCCAGTGAATAAAAAAAACAGTCGTTTTGTATCCGAGCTAGAATGAACTAGATGGCCCGACAACCAGCTCCGGCTAAGCCGCGGCCGTTTTCCGGCTGAGCCGAGGCCGTTTTTCGGCTGAGCCGCGGACCATTCACCGGCTGGTCCGCGGACGCTGCGAAATTCCAGCCGGAAATGGGCCGCGGCTCGGCCGGTCCCAGTGTCTGAGTAATGTCCTCCACCCAGGGCTGAGATAACCTTGCAGTTTCGCGCGCGGACCCACGCATTGCGCCATGAACCATATACGATCGCGGGGTCCAGTTTTGAGGGCAGTATCTCAGCCGTTAAAGGACTACCTGAGCTGCCACTTGCCACAGTGGCTTGATTAGGTCCCCTTACATTCCACGTGAGAGCCCCATAGTCCAGATTTGCCTGGACGCTGCATTCGAATGACTTTGGAGGATATGGGGTCAGCCACTGGGAATCCCCTGTGGTCCATTTAGAAGCGTGGAATCGCGACCAAAGTAAGATTCCTTTTTGTTCTATATGTTCGATAGTGAAGAACGATGCAGCACTCAATTGCATAGGGAAATGAGATCCAGGCCTACGAAGCACTCAGAACTTCCTTCTAACATTTAGCTGCTCTCTCTTTCCCAGTGGAGGTATTGACGCTTCGATTCCACTCTCAAAACCAAGCATTTGGCTCAAATCACCAACTAAACAATCCTCTTTCCCGGTCTCCCTATCCTTCCCCCGAATTCCCCAAAAAGGGAGATGAGAGGTCTATATCAACACAACCTGGAAGCACTTACGCCTAAGATCGGGAGCCCAACTTCTAAGCTGCTATTTGAACCCAGGTCATCGTTGGATGTGTTGCTCTAAATGAGATATCAAAACTGTTGTAATACTATGTAACTTCCGACTCACGCTAACTAATGGAAGAACAACCCGCTTCTCAAACACGTACGGTTGTGCCTTGCCAATTCGTACAAGGTCTCCATTGTGCAATTCCACCTAAAATGAAATCGAATATTGGTAATTGCTTTGATACGCATACTTAAGCTGGTCTTTTGGGAACTGTAACATTTCTTCAAGAGATCCGCACCATGAAACACAATTTTTGAGGTTTCTTTGAAATGTGTACAAGGATCTCAGCAAAATTTGACGACATTTCCGTAGTATAATTGTTTCATATCTCGACCTTGTCAGTCATAAAATGGGTCTACTAAAATGGTCCGTTATACAGCACTGTTCGTTCTCTCAAAGCTATCCTATTTCAAGTTAAGGATTGAGTAATCTCTAAACAATTCGGTTGAACATGATACAGTCGTTATTTAGCAACGATGTCCAAAAATATTGATTAAGTGAAGCCATCGTTACGACCGTTTTAACACAAAGATCATGAAGGCATCGTTTTTGAAGAAAATTCGGAAGGAAATTGCAGAGCTTTGCAACAGGAACGGAATCTACAATACCGCTCACAGAGTGTACAAATTTCCGTGAGTATCGCGGGATTTACGGGAATTCCGCGGAAGTCCGTGATATTTCCGTAAATGTTGCACATTCTGTGAGAGGTACTGTATTTCAGACACTGAAATTATCAAGACTTATTCGATTCATTTTTGTCCAACAGTCTTTCAAGAAAGAGGAAGCAAAACTGAAGATTTTCTCAATACCGTCGCACAGTGAAAACCTCAGATTTTTCTATGAACTGAACGTTAACCGAACGTCACAAGACCATATAGCAATGCCATCAAGTGTTTTCAATGACAGGAGTGATAGTAATGCAAGTGGCAATGTGAATGATTTTAACCATAATTACCATTTTTGATTGCTATTTTGATTGTTATTGAGTCAAAAATATTAATACAATACACCTGTGTGTAAATATAAGACATTTATAAAATTGTGACGACAGATTCGATTGCGGCCTTTCCACCAACGCAAGCGTTACAAGACCATATAACATTCAAACACTTTAGCGCACAGCTTAGTCACTTCAGGTGCCAGCAGTTGACATATACAAAAATAATCTTGAAAAATATGAAAAAGCAAAGAAAATGCGATTGTTGGAGTAGCTTACGCGACGCGCGCAGCCGCCGCCATTGTCACGGATAAATGAGCAACCTATACGTCGTTCAATCATAGAAATGAAAGAGTGCATAACGATCTCGAAGTATTACAACTATAATTCGTACCTGCCCATTCACGGTATGTCCATTGACGGAGGTGTGTCCAGCAAGGGAGTGATCTCTGAGCCAAAATGATCCCGATTTTGGATTTTGTTCAATGGAAGCGTGAATGGGATGCACTCCCTTTGCCTGTAAAAAAGCTTTGCAGCAAATGATTATCTAGATGTTTGAACACTTTCTTTCTCAATATTTAGCATTTTAGGTATTTACTGGCATTTGCGACCGTATAAACGGAATATTTATCAAGTGCAATAGTGCACCTTGCATTATTTTAAGAGTACTCTAAAATCTTGTACGTCTGCTTTTTTGAACTTGGTTTTTTCGAGTGCTTCTTGTAAACCAGTCGAAGACTTTGAACAACCATTTTAATGATGTAAAAATTGTTAACATTCATTTCTCACGTCATTTTTTTCGCAGCGACAAGAATTTCCAAGTTTCATAATTTTTCATTCTTGCTAACATACGTTAAGTTTGATATCACACTTGTCTGTCCCAATAGTGAGCACTTTGGATTGGATGGGAATCGTTTCGAGATTCCTTGAGCTATACCGACGCAACATGTTTGGTATCAATCTGAAAATGAAAAGCCTATTGTCAACCTTGGCCAAATTGATGGGTGCTTTACCTCTTCTACTTCGCAGTATCATCTGATGTTATATGCTCTGAAAAGAAAAATGCTAAAATTGTGTAGCGATTTGATAACTCACGATAACTATTCTTCGCTAATCGGATACCAAACTGGAAAAGCATAGAACAAAAAGGGATACTTGTTTGCAGATGTCTTTTATTGTGAGAGTGATCAAAGCGAGATTGAAAGATTTCTGTCATCAGTCTAATGTGCAAAGCAACTTTCTGTGATACTCCAAGTTATTCAAACAGGCAGGACGCTTTGCAAGGCCTCTCGAAGTTATGGCAACAGAGTTCATTCTAACTCTGCAAAAAACACTATTTTTCGGATTATTGTAGAAAATGGCTTCAAAACAAGTTGCAGCAAACAATGTGTGAATAGAGTGGAAGAAAAGGTAAGTGGGTGAGAATAAGCAGTAAAAGGTAATGAAACAGCGATTTTCACAGCATTCGTGCCCGAAGCAGATTTTAGACAACTTGTGCATTAGTGATGTCGAGGCGCAGAGAAGATCTACATAAAAAGCTGAAAATTTTTTCGATATGCTAAGAAAGGAGAAAAATGCTCTTAGATTGCAAAGTTGTCTGAGCCAGGTTAGTTTCTGAATTATCTGTATGTAAAGCACTGGGAATGTGCAAATGAAGCAATGTGAAATACAGTATGACATGTATCAATCTTCTTGAAGGATTGGGAAGAGCGTGAAAAAAATTTTTTTTGAGTGAAAGGGGTGGCCTCAGCCACTCCCTCCGAATAATTGCTGGGTTCATCCAAATTTCAAGCTTATTACAGCATAATAGCACTCTACTGCTACATAATAAAAGGAACGGAAGATGGCATATCGAAAAAATTCTTTTAAGTCAGTTCATGTTTTTTAGAAATTCATAAATAAATGTACCATTCACAAATGTAGCCAACAAGCTAGTGCTGCACACTTGAGTCTGCGAAATCCACTATCTGAATGTCTCAGATCAAATTTCTAAAATGTGGCAGATTCTCCACCTTACTACATATATGAGGAATATTGGCGCTATCATAAGGCGCACAGTCAGAACAACTGAGAAAAGAAAAGAGTCGTTGCTGCTTGCTGCTACGGCTCAGGTTATTCACTTTTAGCTGTATAAAGTCCTAATCATAGCTGGTTTTGTCATGAATCAAGGCTTAACTGGAATGTTACGTTTTGCAAGCCGTCTCAATTCGGCGACTAGTTTCTCATCGTAATTTCCAGTCAACAGTAGTTTTGATTATAAAGTTCCAGGAGGCCTACGCAGGTTGGAAGGCAACAAATGAAAAAGTAATCTTGCACTCTTCAGTTACAAAAAGTTTTAATATAGGATTTGGCATGAAAAGCAAAATGAATGGACATGCTTCTCAGCTCCAGGATTATTAGCGAGAAGTAGAAGCGCCCCAGTATGATTCGCAGATAAAACTGCTGCATAGAGAATATGAGAGAATATGATAAATATCCAGGGCAGTTGGCACGAGTTATTTGAAGGCAATTCGAAAATTCTTCCAGTTGGAACGAACAGATATTTGGAAGGTGATAGAAGATGAATGAAAACAACTGGTATGCTTTTAGCCTTTGGATCAGCGAGATAAGTGAATAGCAGGTTCTCGCACTAGTAGCTTTTAAAGCCAAAGTTTGACTGTTTTACTGATGGAAGCCAGATCAAGGACGATAAAATCTTCAGCCGATTGATGATTTTACAAATATTAGCAAGCTTTTGCTTGAAGGTAAATGGAAAATTTTTTTGTATCAGTAGAATTTTATGATTTGGGAATCCATACAAGCAGCTAAAGTTTCAAAGCGTTTGTTTTCCAGGGGCTTAAAAGAAATGAAAAGCGAATTTTGCTAAGAGACGCTTGAAAACGTAGCCGTTCAAATTGCCAAGGCAACTCAAAGCGTCTTATGTACTTTCCACACAATCATAGAGAAATTCGAATTCGGAAAGAACTGCATGAACAAAGCACATCACTATGGCAGCGCCCGCAATTTGATCGTTCTCTGCGTTTTGCATTTCAAACAACTATTGTATCCTCTAAATTTGATGTAAGAGTTCGTAGGCTCCAGCAAGAAAGCATTTTCTTCAAAGCTACGCGTGTGTAAAGTTAGTAACGGATGCGATGAATGGAAGCTTCCGAAGAAACGAAAAGGTTTAAGCCTCAAGTTTGGATATGATAATTATTTCAACATGGCAAATAAGTAGAGAAGAAAAACTAATTCCATTGTTAAGAGTAGGGGATTATGTGTCGCCGATAGGCTCTACCCCGCGCGGACAGCTGGTACAAATTGTTATAGCTGTGATGTGTGAAGCTGCGTGTTTTGTCGCAAATGTCCGCGCGGGTACCACCCACTTTCAGCGGCATAGTCTAGTTACTCCTATTGTTCTTCGCACGGAGTGCAATAGCATGTGCAAAGGACCCGATACCACGGGCTGCTTAAACCTTTTCGTTTCTTCGGAAGCTTCCATTCATCGCATCCGTTACTAACTTTACACACGCGTAGCTTTGAAGAAAATGCTTTCTTGCTGAAGCCTACGAACTCTTACATCATATTTAGAGATACAATAGTTGTTTGAAATGCTTTGGTGAGACACTGCCTTTAACAGCGTTTTCGTTAAGGGCCAGGCATACTTGAAGGCAGTGTCCGGGCAAAAAGTCGATTTTGAGATTTTGTGCTTACCCGGGCCTTTCGAAAATCCACATTGGAAAGCGCAAAAACGGCAAAAAAGGGCTCTAACGCAAGAGGGAAATCGAAAGTGGGCGAGGTCCTTCCCATTGTGAATTTCGCAGTCCCTCTGGAGCGATCTTCCCAATTCTTCTAGCGCCCTGAGATCTCCACCGGGCAGGTGCGAATGCATGACTTGAAATTGGAACCGAGAAGATCGCTCTGGAAGCTGGGAGCATGAATTCACAGTGGGGAGGACCCCGCCCACCTGCTGATGCCGTGTTAGAGCCGTTTTTCGCCGTTTTCGCGCTCTCCAATGTGCATTTTCGGATTCAGTGTAGCGAATAGGCCCGGGTAAGCAAAAAATCTCAAAATCGAGTTTTTGCCCGGACACTGCCTTTAACGCGATTTCAGTTGCGACGCGATTTGGCAATTCGCTAGAACTCTTCAGATCCAACACTAGCAAACTGCACATGCATAGTATTTATAACTTACAGGATTGATAAAATGCCCTGTCTTCTGTGCATTTGAAAATGGGCAACAGTGAGTTATGAACAATTGGAATACTGCCAAATCGCGTCGCGACTGAAATTGCGTGAAGTATGCCCGGCCCTTTACCTCAACGCTATCATTAGCTAGATTAGCATCAAATTTATCTGTAGACTAGGAGAATTGAATAAAATTTCGCATATGCACTAAAGGATCCCGTTTTTTAATCCACAAAAGTTTTGCTTGATTGTCCGACCCCGCGAACACCAACAAAGTCTAGCTGACTCAGCGTGGATGTACCATTCTTGCACCCGAAATCATAAAATGGAAAAATTTGAGTCGCTGTCACTTCCTTCGTGATTGGCCAAAAGTTCTATGTGCTAGTCAAAGAGAATGTGCTTGCAAAACTTTACATAGTCAGTTACAATGTGCATTGTCGTCCCATTTCTAGCCGCGCAAGGTTTGACGGCTTGTTGAGCCTAGATGAGGGGAGCGAACTTTCTTGCCTAGCGGTGCTTCATCCCAAATATACCTTAGTCTTTTGAAATACTATAGGACTGGTAAGGTATGACTACGCAGTAAGCAAGAGTACAGCTCTAATGTTGAAATCAATTTGTGGACGTGATACTCCAAACAACCAAAGTGGTGCTTGAGGAAGTCGTGAAGGAGGTATGAAAGCCCCAGGCAAATTCGGTCAGAATAAAAAGCAAACTATTACAAGTGGGAGGAAGTAATTGGTGGCACCTGTCCGGTTCGGTTATGCTGATAAAGCTACTACGGAACGTTCTCTACTACTAGCAGCAGGTTTTGGTTCTCCACTTTACCACCTCGAAAAAGACCTCTATTTGAGTTTGGTTGAGATTCACGCTGCTACTCAAACCAGATCACCTAGCCAGCTGTATAGTGCAGAATCTGAAACTGGTCCACACCTTTCGAAGTCTATGCCTCAAACTCATGGTAATCATATTACTTATGTAAAATCTATTATCAAGCCATAATATATGCGAATAGTTCCTTGAATGGGTCTAACCTATTTCCTGACTCGTAGAAAGTGCATGAGCTTAAAAGTTACGACGATAGTACACTTTTACAGCTGTCGTAGTTTTTTTAGGCGTGACAATTAGCGAAAAGTATTGAGTACATTTATGTTGGGGAGAATTGGCCATGAATTTTGTTTTTATAGTTACACTTGTCTTGGATTACCCGAAGGTGTGGGAAAAAGAACAAAGGTGCTAAAAATATACGCAATAAAAAAGTTAATGACTGCAATAACATCATCTAGGTGCAAATCGAGAATGGTTGCATAGTCAGTCAGATGATCTTTTATAGCTTTGTACGCTATGAGATTATTCAGATTCAGATTAGTCAAATATTTCAGCTCATATACATAGTGCAGCTACCGTCTGAAATAGCAGGACTGGAAGAAAAGAGTGATAAAATTTAGACAATATAAGAAGCGATATTTATTTCATGCACAGAATTGCACAAAATAATTTATTTTGCAATATAAGTGCTGGTTAGCCAATATGTAACCCACCCAGCCAGAGTTTTTGGTTATACAAAAGAAAGAAATGGACGAAGATAGATTTCGACAGTGAGGAATATCATAGTGCAGGTGAGCAAATAATGACATTACATTTCGAAAGTTCGCAGGAATTTACTCAAGTTGATTTTTTTCAGGTTCTGCCTAGTCACCCATGAGATCCACACTTCGCCGCCTCATACAGCTACTTCAAAATTTTCTCCTCCTAATGCCCATAATTCCTCCTCCAGAGGCCCCG